AATCTCATATTGTCATTGAACGACAGACTAAGAGTGGGAAGCCATTTTTCATGTTCTTAAACACTGACACAATGATGAGAAAGTAGAAGCTATGATTTTGGAGAAATGCACACTTTAAGTAAAATTAACTTTGCCACCTTTGTCTTTTCAGGAACAAACTTCCTGGTGCCAGGCATCAGAGGTATCTCATAGTGTCAATCAAGCTGCCTAGAGTAAAGGGAATTTACAAGGCCTAAGATATCATACATTGGTCAAGGATTGTAAAAGTCATGAAACTTGTAATTACAAAAGTTATGACCGCCCAGAGGGGGAGCAGGTGGGAACTCAGTCTTCCGGTAGAGCTATCTACAGGGAAGTCAAGAATTCCCCGAAGCTACCCACTGGGAATGCCTAGGAGATAAGGGGAAGTGCACCCTCCATTAGCTCTAAGGAATGTTGTTTGGGAAGGTGCAGGAGAATTAGACGCCTTGTCATACCTTTCTCTAGGGGCTATGATAATGTGGATGGACATTAATGGGTCTCTGTGTCACAGGATCTCCAAGACATCCACAGGTGGTCGACAAGGAAGTCATGGCAGTTACATGCAACATCTCCAGAAAAGGATTTAAGCCAGGGCTTTGGAGGACTACAACACCACACTTACCTAGAGTGTAGGCCCATTCCCTGTCTGTGGGGGGTGAACTTTTCTTAAATAAATCTTTCTTCTCTCACCTCTGTGTGTTGCAATTTTTTGCATTTACTCGGATCTCTGGGTTGCGGCACCTCTGGCTTGCTGGCTCTGGTGCTGTACCTCACTGCGCCTCCCACCCTCACCCTGTCCATACCCTAACAGTCATTCTTTCCTTTTCTAGCTGTGGAATGGAATTTAGAGTTTGCATTTTAAATTCATTATGAGAGTCCACATCAACTTTAAGGGACTTTTCTTTTACCCTTAAAAGATCAGCTTATGCACTGTGATACATGGTTTATTTTTTTCTGGCTAACCATATGTTGATCTCTACATTTAAAATCATCTTTTGTCTAAAATGTTAACTGAGCATCCTTAGAAAAGTAGAAATGTCTGAAAGGATATGGAGGTAAGAATCTTCTAGATTCCCTTCATATTATCCCTGGTACGGTATGTAGGTAAATAGCTCACAGACCCTCTGTTTAATCTTTGAAGTATTTACCATTACAAGGCATATTTAACTTCTGTCTATAAAATGGTTTAATTGCTAGAGTTTTTATTTTGACTTTACTGTTAAGGAGATCAGACCCAAAACAGGATCTCCAGTACATGGGACATTTTTTGGTAGATGGTCAGACCAAGAAAGAGAAAAGTAAGCTTGACTCAGAGGGGCTTCCATACCTGTTTTTCCTTCTCATGATAACCCGTAGTTTGAAGGAGCATAAAGGGAGGAAATATTCTGCTTTCATTAAAAAATGACCTGTGCTTCCTGCTTCTGAGAAAAAAATAAACCCTTTATAAAGCAACAGAAGCAGTCTTCATTTACAGTTGTCACTGAAAGAGGTTTCCAGGCTGGGAAGAAATTTTTTTCAAGGCATTTTAAAACCATCTATACTAATAAAAGAAAAACATGATTATTTTTCAGGTCAGAAGACTTCATCATACTTGGCGATGGATATGTTTTTAATTAAAACCCGGGCACAAAACTGGGTTTATTGTGAATCATTGTGACGCCTGATCACTCTCCTGAGACACCCACCGTCTCCTGAGACCATTGGTACTGATCGCTAACTCTTGACCCCCGGAGGCCATTTTGTGTATCTAGCAGTTAGAAAGGTGATTTCTAAGGCCTGGCAGCTGTTGGTGTTAAAGCTATTGTGTGGGAAACAAAAGCCATTCTGTCTGTTCTCCAGCCCGCCTTTGTATCACTGATACAGGAGCTGTTTCATAAAAGAGGTATAATTCTTTACCAGGGAATTTCGTGACTGCCCATGTTTCAATGTTAGCTTACACTTCCAGCAGCAGAGGGGCTTGTCTGAAAGTACCTTCTTACAAAAAGGATCTTGGCTTCTGACCCCTGTTAAGATGCTTGCATTTCAAATCTGTTAACCAGGTCTGAAACTAGATGCCATCATAACAACATGTATGCCTCCTACATTCCTTATTTCCACCAAACCCAAGGCTGGCTAAAGCGAATCTGCTGTCAGCCTACTTGTCTTGGATATTAAGAAAGCATAGTATACAGTGGCCCCCATACATACCAGTGGGACCTAGATTGCTTGCACAATTCTTCATTGACCTGTCCTGAAAAATTCTTATAGATCTGATCAGAACTTATTTGAAGAACATGCAGTTTTTCATTCAAATGATATATTCATTATTTTCATTTAGAAAGTATATCACCCTAGGAACTTTCCAGCTGCATATAAAAGAAACAAACTGGCCTAAACAATCAAAGAAATGGAGGTTCTTCCCTCTAGAGGTGAGTGTATTTCCCACCTCATAGAGGTTGGGCTCAGCCACATGACATGCTCTGACCCGTCCTAAGAAGTATTCCTGTTTCACTTACCCTTCTTGCACTTCTACTATTGCCCTGAGAGGAACATACCTTGGCTATCTGTCATTAAAAAAAAAAGAGAGCTGTGGAGTTGTGAGGCAGATCTGAAATGCAAGCTGGAGTCAGACCCAGCTGAGTCCAGGCTACATCAACCTACTTCTAGCTGACCCAGCGTGAGTGGGAATAAGTGACAATCGTTTTAAGCAATGCACTTTGAACTGGCTTGTTGTATAGCACTATTGTGGCAATACTTGACTGATATGTGTTGCGCATGTCACTGAAAAGTCCAGAGGTAGTATGGGCTTCAGGTAGGGTTTGAGAGTAATTTATATTCTATTTCCCTGTGATTCTCTTGGGGCTTCAATCCAGGATGGTTCCCTCTTGGTGGCATGATGACAGTAGCTATTTCAAGCTTCACATTTGTACTGCCTCCAGAAAGCAAGCAAGTTTCTCTCTTCCTCATCCATCATACTGGGGTCCTGGGCTTCACTCTGATTAGGTCAACTTGGGTCACATGTCTATCCTGGGCCAATCACTGAGCAAGGAAAACCGGATTATGCAACTTTGTTTATGTCTATCAGAGTCTGCTCTTAAACATGAGAGTGGGTCCAATTTCCTCCAAAATCCATGTTGTGCTGAATTAAAGGTGAAAGTAAGGGGTGGAACAGATGCAGGGAGGCACCAGCAATGTTAATTATGGAGAGAGTCTAAAATCTTCCACTTTGGTTTTAAGTTTTTTTCAGTACATTATTTGGCTCAAAAGTTTTCTACCTTTCTACCTCTATGTTGCTAGGCTATCTAGAGCTGGAGAGATGGGATTTATTCTTTACATCTTAAATGCTACCTTGTAATGGCAAAGGCCTACCCATGCCACCTAAAGTACTGCAAGGTGGGTGGGGACCCAAATAGGCCTTTACCATTATTATCCCACCAGAACCACAACTCCTAGCATCTCAGGATTTTAAGAAAATGAAAAGTGGTTTGACTTACTAGAATGTGGAAACATCTGACCTAGAGGATGAGTGAATGCTGATGTAATGAGAATTTAATGGAGTGGGGAGAAGTGATAAGAAAGTTATTCTACTGACTTCTGGCCTCCATTGTTTCTGATGCGAAATGTCTGTAATTCTTATTACTGTCCAGACATATATTAAGCACTGAATAAAGATGTGTGTTGAATGAATAAACCAAGGTCTTTTGGCACATAGTCTAACATTCTTCCAGGAATATCCCACCACCTCTTTGTAACACCTTCTGTTGTACAGTCAATGATCTCACTGCAGCCTCTGCAGGGACATGAGTCAAGTAAACAACTAATCCAAGTAACTTTTGTAAATATGGACATTCAATTGCTCACCAGTTACCTTCTGTGTTTCTGAGTTCTCCCTGACCCTGAAGTATTTGAAAGATTGAACAATCCCTACCATTTTGTCCTTTAACAAATGTTTGTCATTCTATGAATATTATTGAACACCTGCTGTCCATAAGGTACTGTGCTAAGTAGTGTGAGGGATGCAGAATTGAATGTGAGATAAAACTTGTCTTCAAGTACCTGACTAATGGAATTTGTCACTCAAGGTTTCAGAGAAGCCTTAGACACAAGGAAAGACTTGGAACCCTTCATAACCCTACAGATTCTCTGGGAGTAGTATGACTGTTTTCTTGTAGGATTATTTACCTTTCATCTCCAGTCATTAAGGGCCTCAATTCTTTTTTTTTGAGTTGGAGTCTCACTCTGTCACCCAGACTGGAGTGCCGTGGCCGCTCCCGGCCACCGCAGCCTCAACCTGCTGGGCTCCAGTGATCCTTCCGCCTCAGCCTTCTGAGTAGCAGGAACTACAGGTGCGCGCTACCATACCCGGCTAATTTTTTTGATTTATTGTAGAGATGAGGTCTCGCCTGCCCAGGCGGGTCTCGAACCTGCGGGCTCAGGCAATCCACTCACCTCAGCCTCCTAAAGGTGCGGGATTACAGGCTGAGCCACTGATCCCAGCTAAGGGCCTCAATTCTATATGAAACATCTGTCAGTGATAAGACAGAATCACCCAGACCAAGCATTTTGATGTGATCCAGCTGATGTGTTAGGCATTTTTCTCTATTCTTACCTCAATTTCTTTTTTTAAAATTTTATTTTATTTTGAAGCTATGGGATACAATTCAGGATTAGGTATATAAGTGGATATCATACAGGTAAAGTTTGGGCCTCCCTGTGGTCCTCCCTTTGCCTGGTTTGAGATCAGGTACCCTTTTTGTTGTTATATGCTTCCCCACCACCCTGGCAGTATCCCATTACTGCCAATTCCTTTCTTATAGTATTATTCTTACCTTAATTTCTTAGAAATACCTTCTCACACATTTCACCATGGCTGTGCATGGCCATTGTTAGGTTTATCTTGCTGGCTATGTCCTAGTTGAACAATTCTACATAATTGCAAATTTGGAGATGTGTGCTCGGTTACATTTTCTTTGACTTCTTTCTTTTTATTTTTTTCCCAGATGAGTTATGCCTTAAACCATACAAACAGAAAACTAACATTGGAACCTAAAATAACTGTCAATGCCAAGATTGTTGTGGTTGGTGCATCCAATGTTGGAATTTCCTTCCTAGAGACATTGGTGTTTTGGTGAGTTATTTTCCTTTATTTATTCATTTTTAAATAATAAAAATTTTCTTCCTATACCTGAAGAGAACCCCTTAAAAGAATAAATCTGAGTTTGTTTTCTACACCACATCCCTATGTGAATTAAGAATCAGTGTAATATTCTAGCCAGGTGATAGCAAACTATAGCTCCCAGGCCAATTCTGACTTGCTACCTGCTTTTGTAAAGAAAGCTTTATTGGGACACATTCATTTATGTGTTGTCTGTGACTGTTTTTGTGCTACAAAGGTAGATCTGATGGTAGCTTACTCTGTTGAGTAGCTGCAACAGAGACCAGGCCTAAAATGCATACACTGACCCTTTCTAGAAAACAGTCTGCTGACCCCTATTCTAAATAAGTGTTACCCTTATGGCCAGATCATCTGGAGCATTTTTTAAAGCTGTAGATTCCCAGATCCTGCACCTGATATACAGAACCAGGAACTCCTGGGGGAGGGCCCAGGAATCTGTATATCACATCACATCACATCACATCACATCACATCACATCACATCACATCACATCACATCACGGCATGCCACATCATCAGGCAGGTTTGGGAGCTAGTTTTGACTTTATACATTATAAATAGGTTTTAAGAAGTGGCATACAAGCCAGGACCTTTCTTACATTTTGGGTGCCAGGGGACAGGACCTAAAATCCTTCAGGGAAGACTGAGGTCTGAGCACCTCTTCTGATGCTGTGTTCTCACTATCCTCAAAGCACTAGGCTAGGTTTCCTTTCAGAGCCCATTTTCCTGGTGGTGGTTCTCAGGGATCCCTGGCTCCCCTGACCTGTCTCTCCATCTACTCATTGAAGGCCAGTACCTCTTTAGCAGGAAGAGTCCTGGGTTAGGGTCTGAGAACTTGGAGTCACGGTTGACATCATCAGCACCTGGCATGGAACTCGGTACATTGTCTAACTTCTCCAAGACTCAGTATCTTCATTTTTTTTTAAAGTCTCGGATGTTTTAAAAGACCCTGACTTTGGACCACAGGACCCTGAATTAAAAGAGTCCAGTTTTTTTCCAAATCTTTTACTCAGTTTACTCTGAGAAACTTTAGCTACCATTTAAAATCACAGGTACTAGAAGGTAAGTGGGAGATGGGAAGACACAGCCCACCCTGACTCCTCTGGGAGGGCAGGTGGACCTGAGGGGGCAGTTACTGGATAAGGAAAGGGGTGGAGGATGACCCTTGAAAGGAGTCTGTGCCCAGTTAACACAAAGATGCGCTAACTCCAAATGGTTATTTTGCTCATTTGACATCACATTCACCAGATTTGTAAAAGAACTGATTTTTTTTTCCACTTTCTGCCAATTTGTTCCATTCTCCAGAATGGAGTGCTAACCTTAGTTAACCAGAAATAATGATGTATAGTTATTGAGGTTAGCAACAGAATTCATGTGCTTTAAACAACGTGGCCAGTTTGTGGACATGTTCCATTGCAAGAATGAAATGATGAGAAGTACCTAGGAATGTCCACCTTCCTGTGCAGGCCACACTGGAGTGTGAGTGCCTCATTTGTTCTGATGGGTCTCTTCGAACAGCAAGTCATTTTGAATGATGAATGAGCAGGGTGGAGTTGTGAAATTATAATAGTTAAGAAGTGATCATAAACAGGTCTTAAATCTTAATTTAAATATACACTTAGTCATAATGTTTTGTTTAAGTGATGACATTGAGATATATATATAAACTGTACATATATATATACAGTAATTTTCTTTTTGTGAAATCAACTTAGGTTTAATAAAGACAAGTATAAATTTTGATGTAAGTATTGCATTGATTAAATTTTCCAGTCAAAAAGATCTTTTTAAAGCATTCTGAGGTACTCACAATTCTCTCTCATTGTTACACAGACTACATACACTAAAAATAGATTGGTATCAGTTTACAGATCACTAATCCTTAAGAGAGGAAAGAGTTTTCTCATTATTTTCTCTAATTATTTTAAATTAGCAATCACCATAGTAACCTACTGCATATTTTACTATCCCAGTTTAGCTGCCATTTGAACTTAGTTTTATAAATGATTTGAGCTGGAATGAAATTGAAGAGATCCAGTTTTCACCAAACACTGATCACCAGTGAGGATTAAATCCACATTATAGCAGCAAGATTTAGAAAACTGTCCTCCTTGCAGTCTTGAGCTATATTTTCAGACTCAGCAGGAGCACCATAGTTCCTGGAAAATGCACTTGAGGCATAGCACTGTAACCTCTTTTTTCAGAAAATCTGGTAATTCTGTCATCTGGTGACAAAGCAGACACAACTTCGTTCTTACATTCTTTTCATGCAAGACATTATAAAGTACATTTGGGCTCCTCTTCAAAGGGCATCAAGAGCAGTCCTGGCATAAATTGTGTCCTTGTTATGTCCTTCCTTCCCTGAGTATTACAGGGCTACTGGGAAGGTCACCACCTGATATACTAAGACGCACTCCGTGAGGGGTGGATACTAAGGGTGGTGCTTATATTTTTTATTTTTCAGTACAACCTCTTGTCTGGTCCTCCGCTGTTACCTATGTGCAGTTACATCTGCGTGGCCACCGCTTCTAGTCTTTGGTTGTCAGGCCTGTGAGTCATCCTTCATCTTGTCCTTCTCGGGGGGAGCCTCTCAGACCCTCCAGTGCCGGGGACAGGTGCAACTGGGTTACACCCCAGTGTCCCATCCTTTTTCTTCCCTTGCTGTTCTCCTTGTGTGGCTCGGTGAGCTTCCAGTGGGGGCCAAGGAGCCGTGGCCCTGCACTCAGTGCCTTCTGCAATCTCCACTGGTGCTGTGGAGTCCTACAGGGGCTGGAGACAGTGGGGAACAGGATCATTCGGGATGGGGTGACCTCAGCTTATATCCCCCCACCTCATCTTGTACATTTGGCTTCTGTGGGTGTCATGAGGAAGTGTTCCCCTGCAAGCATGAGCCTCCGTGGCAAGGGACAGGGTGCCGCTCTCTTGGGCCGGGAGCACCTGAATGAAGAAAACGCCAGCTCACCCTATGGTGTAGGGGGCAGTGAGTTGATGGGGAAAGGACAGAGCTTAAGACATTTCACAGAGAGTTACGCTTGTCCTTCATAATGCCTGGGACATCCAAGTGACAGACCTGAATTATTTGAGAATTACTGTTCCCATGATGGGTGGGCTGCCTTGGCTCTTGGGTACTGAAAGTTCTCGGCTTGGGCAATATGAGTGTCACATACATGTTTTCCGTCTCAGTACTTCTACAAATAAGACTTTTGTTTTTTGAGTTGGAGTCTTACTCTGTCACCCAGGTGATCCTTCTGTCTCAGCCTTCCAAGTAGCCAGGACTACAAGCACTCGCTACCACGCCTGGCTAATTTTTCAATTTATTGTAGAGACGAGATCTCACCAAGTTGCCCAGGCTGTTCTCAAACCTGTGGGCTCAGGCAATCCCCTCACCTTGGCCTCCCAAAGTGCTGAGATTACAGGCTTGAGCCACTGCGCCCAGCCAAGACTTCTTTTTTAAAAGATATCATTTACTTATTATAAAGTTGTGGGGTACAAGTGAGGATTTACTAATAAGTAGGCTGCATGCAGGTGAAGTTTTGGGCTTCTAGATGGCCCTTACTTCCCCTGGTAGTGAACCAGGTACTCTTTCCTTTATGTCATCATATCATAACCCCCCTTCTGCCCCCCCCGACACTCCTTAGCAGTACCCAGTGACTGCTGATCCCAAACCCCAACCACTGGAAAAAACAGAACTTGGCCTCAGCTGTTAGCCAACCGGTGCTATGGTCTTGAGGGTGGTCCTGTCCTCATTGGTGCTGAGCGCCCCGGGTCCCACCAGCCTAAAGATGCTATCACCTCAGGAACTTCACAGACCTATCAGGTCAAGGGTCACAGTGAACTTCCCACTCCCTGGATTAACAGCCAAGTCATGAGATGAGCTTATGCCATGGATCCAGAAGACAACATTCTTTCCTGAAGGAGAGCTTTCCAGTGAAGTCTGCAGACACACCCCAGAAGGCAAGCGGCCTCTGTCCACAAAGATGAGAAAATCAGGTTTTTACCAGGCGCTTTGTGCTCTAAGTCTAGCCTGTAGAACTCCCCAAATGCAGTACTTTGAATAGTTTAGGTTTCCACAAAGATACTCCAGAATCATTTAAAAAAAGAAATATGGAAATGTTATAGCAAAAAAAGGAGGGGGGCAAGAACTGGGTCTACAAACCTCTCTCCTGTTTTTTACGTCCTTTCTACCCCAGTGTGGTCTGTAGACCAGCAGCAGTGGATCACCTGTGAGCCCGTGAGACATGCAGACCAGACAGAGTCCCAGATAGACTGTTCCCCCAGAATTATGCAGAACAACCTCTCCGCTAACCCCTGGACCTGAGCTCACTGAGCTGAAGTGGTAACTATCGTGCTCAGCTTCAGCACGTGTCTCTATGGCTTCTGTGTTTTATAGCATTTACTCCTAATTATGGGGCAATTCCTTTTAATCCATTATTTTAAAATCTTTCCTAATTCAATTCTGATGTAAAGATTCTCTGGAAGAGCCTGTAATGGCACTAGAAAAATGCACACAGGAACCATGGATGGCAGCAACTGGAAGCAGCCCAGGCAGTGTCCTGATGACCCTTTGGTTGTTTGGGAACATACACTTGGCTTCGAGGAAGTTCCAGGCTCCCTGTGTCTTCCGCTTACACGACTCAGAAGAGTTTTCTCCAGAAATGACCAGGTCATCTCACCAAAAGATGAAGTCTCAGATTTGAGACCTAGACATGGATCCCTTGCCTGGTTGAGTGGATTGAGGTGACTAGGAGTAGCTTGGCATTAGCAGGGCATACTTTTTTTTTTTTTTTTGAGTTGGAGTGTCACTCAGTTGCCCAAACTGGAGTGCAGTGGCTGCTCTCAGCCACCGCAGCCTCGACCTGCTGGACTCCGGCGATCCTTCCTCCTCAGCCTTCCAAGTAGGCAGAATTACAGGCATGCACTACCACACCCGGCTGATTTTTTGATTTATTGTA